CATGTATGTAGTAGTCCACCCATAATAGCCTCATAGTATTTTTTGACACTAGTATAAAGCGACATGTACATCAGGTATAGCTAGGAAGGTCCGAAGGCCAGGGTTATCTATATAAGTCGATACATATCCCTGTCCAAAACTTGACCTTCTTTTTTCATTTTTTGACAATCTGTGTATTTATAGTCGTATTCAGCTTAATTTCTCTACTGAGCATAGCTATTCATTTAGCATTTTGTACTGGCATAATGGCATGTAGTTAATTGCATTCATGGTTGTTAATAGTCCACCCACGATAGCCTTGCAGTGTATTTTGACACCAGTATAAATAGAAGGTGTACATTTGTGTAGATTGGGAGGTCCGGAGGTCAGGGTTATCTATCTATCATTCAGTTGGAACATGCCCCTGTCCACTACTTGACCTTCTTTTTGTAATTTTTTAAAACTTAAACAACTTAGGAATTTATAGTCAGATTCAACTCAATTTCTCTTCTGAGTATAGCCATTTTGTACTGGCATAATGGCATGTAGTTAATTGCATTCACAGTTGTTAATAGTGTAGTGCACCCACAATAGCCTTGCAGTGTATTTTGACACTAGTATAAAAGGAAGTGTGCCCAAGTGTATGTTAGGAAGGTCCGGAGGCCAGGGTTATCTAATCTATTGGTTGAACACACCCCTGTCCACTACTTGACCTTCTTTTTGCCTTATTCAACTCTGCTTTAAGTCTTACTTTTGGTTATTTTAACATTTTTGATGTATCAGAGATCTCCTTTACTATATAATTTTGCTGTTTCTTTATGATGGTAAGCAGAAATATTAGAAGAACTGTAATTATAATCCTGAAACCTAGACATTGAGTATTCCAAGGGATAAACCTGGAAAGTTTACTATGGAAACTTGAGAGTTTTTAAAGTAAAATAAAGCACCTCTAATCGGTCAATTGCATTTAAGTAGTGCTATGTACTAAAACTATTACAAAAAGCTTTCCACACTCCACACTTACATGCATATTTATAACTAGCTACATTCTCATTTCTGAATCAAAAAAGCAGGCTTCATAGAAGAAATAGCTGCCTAGCACTTCAAATTCTGTCTATAGCAAAGTGCCTTCTCCCAGATATTGAGCTATTTTTACATATTCTAACATTCCATCACTATACTTACATTACTAAAAGCTTAACCAATTTATTGACTATTCTATTAAACCATAGTACATGTATATAAATTCAACTTAGCTTAAGGTAAATTCTATGTAACCATTTCCTGTGCTTTAATTAAATTCATTACACTTAATTATATTCATGATTTGGTTTTATAGTGCACCCACAATAGCCTTAAGATGTATTTTGACATGAGTATAAATAAGCTATATGATACAGTAAGAGATTGGGAGGTGTGGAAAGTCAACAGAAAAAATTTGACTGCTACTGGCCTTTGACATTTGAAGATTCTCAGACGGTTTAAGGCTCCCAAATGACTTAGCCTAAACTCCAGCTGAGGTGACTACTGAAACTCATCCAATGACTGAAGACTCGTGTGATGGCTCATGACTTGTATGGTGATTTGAGACTCACATCGACTTCCATGACCAGGTAGCTCTGGACTTCTGGAATGACTGGAGGCTTGTGACAACTCAAATGACCATCACGGACTTACAAATCACCTCAGATTTACAAAAAAAAGAACTGGAGATTTGTCTGGACTATATACATGACAAGGATGTCAAAGACAAAGGACAAGGACAAAGAGCGATTCAAATGACAAGGACATCAAGGAAAAAGGACAAAGAGCGATTCAAATAATATGACAAGGATGTCAAAGAAAAAGGACAAAGAGCGATTTAAAAGACAAGGACATCAAGGACAAAGACAAAGAGCGATTCAAAAGACAAGGACGTCAAGGAAAAAGGACAAGGACAAAGAGCGATTCAAATAATATGACAAGGATGTCAAAGAAAAAGGACAAGGACAAAGAGCGATTCAAAAGACAAGGAAAAAGGACAAGGACAAAGAGCGATTTAAAAGACAAGGACATCAAGGACAAAGACAAAGAGCGATTCAAAAGACAAGGACGTCAAGGAAAAAGGACAAGGACAAAGAGCGATTCAAATAATATGACAAGGATGTCAAAGAAAAAGGACAAGGACAAAGAGCGATTCAAAAGACAAGGAAAAAGGACAAAGACAAAGAGCGATTCAAAAGACAAGGACGTCAAGGAAAAAGGACAAGGACAAAGAGCAATTCAAATGATGACCAAATCTTCAAGAAAAAAGGCCTTCAAGATCCAGCTCCCTTCTCAGTAGCCATCTCTCATTCAGAAATATCCAATGAATGATCATCATACAGAAAAGCTCTCCATCACAGCTGTTCAATGTACTAAATAGAAGTTGGCAATGTTCCAAAATCCTATCATCTCACTTGTTTGAGCATAGATCAAGCCTCCGGTCATTCTAGAAGTCCAGAGCTACCTGGTCATGGAAGTCGATGTGAGTCTCAAATCACCATACAAGTCATGAGCCATCACATGAGTCTTCAGTCATTGGATGAGTTTCAGTAGTCACCTCAGCTGGAGTTTAGGCTAAGTCATTATGTGAGCCTCAAACCATTGGGAGTCTTCAAATGTCAAGGCCAGTGGTGGTCGAATTTTTTCTTTATCTACACCACATTCCTGTAAAAAATCTGCTAAAATCAGTACATGCAATATTGAACATTATTATTCTTATTGCCACACCCGCCTAATTAACATTAATTATTATTTTCCAGGTTCCTCGTGAAAGTGCTCCAATAATTGGTCCTAATCCTCTCCCCGAACTCACTCATGTTGCCGTGGCGATGGAAAGCTCCTCCTACAGCGAAAACAACTTTTACACCTTTGCTGTCCTCAATTCGTTAATGGGAGGGGGCGGATCCTTCTCTGCCGGGGGTCCTGGAAAAGGAATGTATACCCAGTTGTACTTGAATGTACTAAACAAGCATCATTGGATCTATCATGCACAAGCTATAAACCACGCCTACTCTGATACTGGGACATTCTGTCTGTTTGGTAGCTCGCATCCATCAATGGTAGAATACATTCTCTCTCTCTTCCTCTTTTATTTTTCGCTCTCTTTTTATTTTTCATTCTTTTCTTTCTCTTCTAGTCTAGGAAGCTTGTTGAAGTCTTGTGTCAACAGTTTTATAACATGACCCAAAGTCCTAATCCAATTGCTGTAGCAAGAGCAAAGAAACAGCTCCAATCAACACTACTGATGAACCTTGAGTCAAGACTTATCAACTTTGAAGATATCGGAAGGTAAACATGACACATGTACATGTATACATACATGTACATCTTTATTATTAATTATAGGCAAGTATTAGCTCATTCTAAAAGATTATCAGCTAAACAAATCTGTGATAAAATAGGTACTTCATCTT